GACGGCTAGCACGAACCATCCCATCAAAACAGTCCTGACAGAGGACGTGTTGTCCACATGTCAAAAACACGGCAGGACGTTCATCACAGTGCGGCATCATACAGTTCTGATAGCGTCCTTGGGCACAATAGGGACAACGTATATCTGGGTGATAGGGATGTGTACAATGTGATAAACATATATTATATATGAGAGAGCTGGTGACGCAGAAGACGGAGAGAGAAGAGAGAGAAGAGGGAGAAGAGGGAGAGAGATGAGATGCAAAAAGGAGAGAGATGGGAGGCAGAAGATGGGGAGAGATGAGAGACATAAGATCGAGAGAGATACCAGATCGGATGGACAGAGATGCAGAGAGGTGAAGAAAGACGATATGAGAGATATGTGAGCGAGAGATTATGCCATAGGGGGGAGAGAAGAGAGGAGAGGAGAGGAGAGGAGAGGAGAGGAGAGGAGAGGGACACACAGCGACAAACAAAGAAAACAAGACAAAGCGACAGAAGAAGAAAATGACGGCGAGAACCAGATGTACAGAGAGAGGGGACGAGCGGGAGAGAGAGAGAGAGAGGTACAAGGCATTTGAAAAGTGTTAGGTAAAACTCGCACGGAAAGGAACCGGCGAGGGGAGGGGAGGGCGGGGGGGGAAGGTAGGCGAACGAGAACAACAGGCGCTGAAAAGAGGAAGCAAGACAAACTTCAGACAGGAGAAATTTATACCAAAACAAAACGAGGAAAAGAGCAGCAAAAGAAAGAGAAAGAAGACAGAAATGCGCGTATGAAAAATTTCGAACAAGGAGCAGAAGCATGGTCAACGAGAAAGAGGGAGAAAGAGGGAGAAAGAGGGAGAAAGAGGAAGAAAGAGGAAGAAAGAAATGGGAAAACAGGAGAAGAAGAAGAGGAAGAAGAAGAGGATGAAAAAGAAGATAGAAATGGGATTAGCAAGAAAATTAAGAACTACGGAAAGCACAGAGATTGGTCGGCGAGAGAAAAGAGAAGGAGAAAGGAGATAGAAGCACAGAAGCACAGAGATGGAGGAAAAGAAAGAAAAGAAGATGGGGAAAAGCTACTGACTGAAAAGATGGAGGAGGAGGGAGGAAGATGGGGATAGCTCCTTGGATACGACTGCTCTCGCGCTTCTATCGCTGTTATCTTGAGAAGAACCACTTGTTTCAAGAGCCACTTAAGATTATTATTGTTTTCACATGTCTCGCTTTCGGCCATCAATTTGCAGAGGCGATTATTTTCACATATCTCGCTTTCACACTTCGTTGTTATCTTGAGAAGGCTTGGCACTTGGCACTTGGCATGTTCGGTTATGTGTTTTGCGAACGAGCCAGAAGCGAAGCTGTCTTGGCTTCTTCGTCTTCTTTACTGAAAAGAGGAGATGGACATAACGAAAAAAACTTAACCTTAAGAAAAAAGGAGATGGGCAAGGAAAAGGCTTCGGACAGAAAGACCTGAGGAGCCAGGAAAGAAAAAAGAAGAAAAAAAGCATTAAGGTAAGAGGAGGACCTGCAACGGGCGACCCACACAGTCTCTCTTTGCTCAGTGAGTCACTGGGAGAGGATAAAAACGACGAAAAACTGAAGATGCAGAAGAAACGAAGATGCACGGGAAGGACCTGAGGAAGGAGGTGAGAAGCAAGGAGGGGACTCAAAAATAAAAAAAAATAAAAAAAACAGAAGAACGGCCAGTTCCTCTGATAGGTTCCCTTCTTTTTTCCCTCCTACCTTCTCAAAAAAAAAAAAAAGGAAAAGAAGTATCAGAAGAACGGTCAGTTTCAAAAAAAAAAAAAAAAAAAAGAACGGTCAGTTCCGTGTGTGTCAGAGAGAAGGAGAGAAAGAGAGAAAGAGGGCAAACGATAGCGAAAGACAGAAAGAGAGAGGTTTAGACGAGACTAAGAAGAGAGAGAGAGAGAGAGAGAGAGAGAAGGGTAGGAAGAGAGAAAGGGAAGAAGAAAACAATAGGGAGATATGATTACAAGTATCTGTTTCTTCCCTCGGGGTACAGTCGAAGTTCCCCACGAATAGATTGGAGCTCTGTTCACAAAAAAGAAGGAAAAAAAAAAAGGAGAGGGAGAGAGAAGAAGAAAAGATTCTTTTCTGAGTGAATCTACTCGTACTTACGGTCAGAGAGATGCAGAAAAGTTGAAGTGGGAAAAAAAAAAAAAAAAAAAAAAGGGATGCTCTCAATTACTCACCGAGCTTATTCCGCTTAGACTTCGGCATTTTCGATCACGGAGTTTTCCTCTTTGACCTCACCTCCTCCTCCTCCTCTATTTGGGTTTTTTGCGAGTCCTTTCCGCCTTCTTTTGACTGTAATGGCCGACTTTCCCACCGTCTTTGGCTGTATTGGCCTCCTCTTCCCGCCTTGATTCCCCACCTTTTTTTTGGGGAGGGGGGGAGGGGGGGGGGGGCGGCGGCGGATTTCCCACTTCTTTTCCGTGCTTTCACCGACAGGTAGTGGGTGATGGCGGATCCACACCCGTGAACGACGTCACGTCGATTGCCACGTGGCTTTCTCCCCACACAGCCTTGGGTCTTGGGCCCGTCGTTTCTGTCCCAGGCACACCCGTCACCGCCGGTGGCCCTAAAAGGAGGACCTTGGCAGCGGGAAACACAGCTTATTTTCGGCGGGTGTAGAAGGGGAGCCTTACTGCGGCGGGTAACGCAGCTTATTTTCGGCGAACCTCCTAACGCCCGCCTTGGCCTTCTCGAGCCGCCGGTCCGAAGACCGAAAACAAACGGACCCTCACAACTTGTAGGCCGGCCAAAAATAATCGGGGTCCTCACGACATGGAGGCCCTGCATGGGAGAGTTTTTTTCCCACGCCCACTTCCAGCTCGCTGCGTTCGCTTTCAAATGGAGGCCTTCCCAAGGAGTTATACAGGAGGAAGGGGTAGAAGGAAAAAAAGTAGGGCTAGATCCTGGGCGTCAGATTTGCAAACCAGGTCCTATATAGTCAAGCAGGCATAGCTCAGTGGGCCCTACCCCTTTTTCTTCCACCTCGTCTCCAGGGGAGCTATCCTGTTTAGTATGGTTCTAATCCCCGCTCTATAGCCCAGATAGTGGGGGAGGGAGACATGCTTTGGACAAAAAGGTCCATGCTATGGTCAGATTCCATTGCGGATGCGTTTCCTCATCCTATGATCTAAGGTCATGGCGGTGCAAATCCACAATGCAACTGCTCTGAGCGTTTGGAGGTCGGCATGTTCGGGAAAAGAACTCATCCAATAAGACAGGATAGCCTTCGAAGCATGAAGTGGTGTGTGCTATCAGGGGGTTCCATTTGCACAGAAGCAGCAGTTGACAAGCAGTGAGGGTCAATAGCAATCATGAGGTTTTCGTCTCTTCTGCTCAAGCCATAATTGTCTATGGTTGTCCTTGGATGGTGTCGACTTACCAGCCTACATGCCATGAAGTAGAGGTCTCTCTTGATTGTCAACCCAATAAAGACACCGGATGTCTGGAGATAAATGGATTTGGGGGGTCGATGGCACTGCCAAATCGAAATATGTCACAAGACTCCCAAACGGGTAAAGTGATTTCTGTTTCCTTGAGTTGTGCGAGAAAGAAGATTGATTGCTCACATATTGAGGTCTCAATTGACGTATTTTCTTCCTTGTGGTAGGGACGTTCACAAACAATGCGCCTTTGCACAGTGGGGGGCCATGTTGGTTGCTCATCTTCCGGATAGAGCTCAAACCAAAGTAGATAATTGAATAAACGTACTACACAGACGGGGACTCTACGAACTAGGTATGTTGAATTAACTACCAGTACTTCTTAAAGTTGTGCCTGTATACAAGCCACGATTTTATGAAATGTACAGGCCAGTACAAGAGCACCCAAATTCATCCAACTACAAACGTTTCTACTTTTTTTTTTTTCACCGTCGATAGTTGGGGCAAGTACTTGTCATTTAAATAAGATCGTTGCTTGTGTATAGATAAGGAAATTTGTCTTCTCTCAAACCACTTTTAATGGTAGCAGAAGACAACAGGTATGATGATCTCATCAGATTTTAAGGCCCTTTTATAATGATAACCTTGTATCTGAGTGATGTAATAACCATATTGTGGATGACATACTGCATTTTGTCATAGCAGTGGACTCACCAACTGTTATTGAATGAATATGATAGGTTGGAATTTTGCATTACTATAATCCATGTCACTCGCATTTAAAAAAAAAGACATATTTTTTATAAAATTGATAAATTTTTAAATACTTATTCAAGATAAAAAAAAAAGTGTAATATATCGACATCAATGATTTATTTATCATTTTGACAACATTGGGTGTCGGTGTGTTGGGGTTGCTGGTAGGAGCAAACACCTCCACCACAACATTATAGATTGGTGGCTTTGTTCCAATGGTGAAGAGTTGCACCTACTGGAAACTGGATTTAGTGTCCATATACAACAAAACAACAAGGAGTTAGAGTTATGTAGGAGCATTGTGTAGCCAACGCCCATCAATTATATGTTATTTTTCCTTCATATAGTTAGTCACTGAATTTCTCTCTTATGACAAAATAAATTCACCCTTCCTCACACATGACACCTATCTCATATGATACTAAAATAATATTACATATATCATCAGACAAAGTTGTCCGGTCAATCATAGGCGGAGAGGGAGAAGAGGACAACAAACAAGGGGTTGTGATAAAATGTTTTGTCAAAGTTTATAACATACTTATATAACATTTCAACTGTCTGTTGGTTGTTTGTCACTATCTGTACAGATTTGTATAAATCCTTTAACTTTTGATAGCACTTTACACTAATGTTAATAATTTAAACGAAACAAGATTTGGATCATTTGCTAATGGCATAAGAAGTATAAACTGCAATTTATGGGATGAAAAAAAAAATTATGTATAAGATTTTATAATTTTTAAAAGTAATTTATAATTTTTCAATGGAGTTCAATAAACTATTCATTCCTAACAGGCGTGGTTCGGGGCTTCATGAGTTTATGATTTGTATAAAAAAAACAAAAAAACAAAACATAAAGTTCTAAATTATCATCTCATATGACCATTAAATATGGGATATAAATTATTGGTTACACCACCAATATTTTTTTAATTTTTTTGAAAAACAAGGTCGTTAATATGCGATGTTTTATAGTCTCCGTCTACTAAATCCCAAAGACTAACTGCACATGTCATAAAAATTAAAGTTGATACTCTTGTTGATTCGATAGAAACTGGTGCACGATAAATATTGAAGAGGTTCATAAATTTATAAGTATTATCGTTTTCACGTGAAAATAGTGTCAAAATATTATGTAAAAATATATATATATATATAAATTGCAATTAACCAACTTTTAGCTAAGGGTCACTTTTAAATTCCTTATCAGTTTAAAAATGGAAAAAATCAAACAAAAACTCAAACCAAAACATACCTTTTGAAAGTCAAAACCCCTTTCAACCCTCTTTAAAATTTAATGAAAAAGAGATTTATAATAAACAATCTTACTACAACTATAGTTGTGTTCAAGTTAACTAGGATATGGTAACTTTTATTTTTTTACATTAAAAAAATATATGACAAAATTGAATAAATATTTATACTCATTACTGTAAACATTTTGGCTCTTAGCCGAGTCGTTCGGGTCACCCTATTCTCCCGGACGTTCCAGTCGTGCAAGGACTAGGAAAGGTTCCCAGTAAAAGAAAAATATAGGCTACGGAAATGGTCCAGGCCCAATTGCTCGCCTTGGCAAAAACAAAATATATATAAAAAAAATAATTTTATTTTTTATTTTCAATTTGGTAAATAATTTTGATGAGGCAAAAACTATTCAACTTAATTTTTTTTCACAACTTCGTTCATTTTTGAATTTTTTAGTTTTTGTGGTTTTTTTTTGCTGCGGTCTTCCCTGGTTAATGCACGGGCAAGCCGCTCGGAAAAACAAAGTGATCCGAGTGGCCTGACAGATAGCCTAAAAAAAAATAAAAAAAATTGAAGAAAAAATAATATAAAACAAAAAAATAAAATAACTTTTATCACACGGTTACATTATTTTTTTTACAAAATTTAAAATAATAAATTAAAATGATATATATATATATATATATATATATATATATATATATATATATATATATATATATCGTCAAATAGAACTGCCCGGTAAACCGTAGGNATATATATATATATATATATATATATATCGTCAAATAGAACTGCCCGGTAAACCGTAGGCAGAGAGGGAGAAGAGGACAATATATATATATATATTTTTACCTGGGCGTTAAATGATCATGGACCAATCTGGTAACCTAGCTAAAAATTATAAAACATATGAATTTTGAAAAAAAAAACGTTAGAGTGGTTGTAATAATTTTGTTGGTACATGTATAATATTTTATAAAATATGTATGATTATTTTAAATTTGTTGATTTCAATGTTTTTATTTTTTTTTAGCCCCGTTTTTATTTGTTCAAGTTTACTTTCAAATCCTATAATATAACATTGAATATCATATGGTTATAAGAAAATAAAATCAACAGGTACAAACAATCAATAACAGATCACTAAATAACCACAATACCAAGTACACAAGAATCTTAAAATAACTTAATTTTATTTCAACTTAATATGACGTTTTTTTTACAATTTCAATAAAATAATATTTTTCTGTTTATCTTGTTTTTACTAACTTAGGGTAAACTGAAAAATAACGCGAATGTTTGTTAACTCCTTTTAAATGTGTCTTGAACTCGGGGTTATGGTTTCTCAATCGGTTTGCACAACACTTCAAGACGAACTTAAGGGTGAGATGTTATTGGTTGTATTGTTTGTTAGAGGGTTGTACTTATCTTACCTTCAATTTTTATTTGCTATGATAACTAACAACAGTTTGTTGATCGACTTCTTAGACATGATAAAAGTTAAGGTTTAAGTTGCAAAATCTATTTAGAAATCTACGAAAATAATGAATTTCCCCCAACCAATGTAGCTTGCGAGTCAATTGTTATACCCCTACTGAAAACAACTTGAGAATCTTATATCCTATATTATATATCTCGCCCGATTTGACCAAATAGCCAAATAACAAAAAAAACATGTATTGGTCTGTAAGGATAATTATAGGTAATTCACGTAGGATGTAGTTTAAAAAGTGAATGGTTCTTGTTTGATCAGGGTAACCGGCATTCGGAACGGGCCGAATGCCCGAACCCCAACGCCCGAACGTATGGGACCCCTTGGGGATGCGTTCGGCCGTTCGGGACGAATGCGAACCCCCCCCCCGAAAAAAAATAAAAAAAATAAAAATAAAAAAAAAAATAAAAAAATAAAAATTCAAAACAATCTGAAAAAAGATATGTTATGGAGAAAAATAAATTAAACAAGATTTGTCTGAGCATTACATCCAAATTCCTTACAAAATTTAAAATAAAAATAAAATATAGAAAACAAATACTAATAATAAAAATAAAGAAAAATAAAAAGAGAATTAAATTTAGTGAGTGCACGAGCATGTTTTCAACACCGCCATCTTTGACGATTTTTTTTTTTTTTTTTTGGCATAGCTAAATGCCCTGAAAATTTACAGATGTGTACTTCACATAATACAAAACCCACGAAAAAATTTTCAAAAATTAATAAAATTATTTAGACCCCGAACTAAAGTGAAAACAAAATGTAAAAAATGAAAAAATGCGTGGGCGAGCACGTTTTGACACCGCCATCTTTGGCGATTTT